CTCCACAATCAACATTGGCACTACTCAGACTGGGACAAGTATCAGTATCAAGTCTTCTATTTTAAATTGTTGCTATCCTTCACCATTAGGTCAGGATGCATTTTGCTCTGCACAAAAGATGTCTTCTTCTTGATTACAGAGTCTCTTTATTTCCTATTTGCCTTTATACTTTCTGATTTTTACTTTCAAAGCATTTTGCTCAGAGTTTAAGGTTTGAGAAATTAGTTTTTCTGAGGTCCTCTATATATAAACATGTAAAAAAGGAATTTTAATAAAAGTGTCCAGTCTATAATACAGAGTCTTTGTCCATATTGTATAAAATCAGGTTATGATCAGGTTCTGAACTGAACCTGCAGTTCTGCTATGGATTTATCTTTATTGGAATTAGCTTGTTTTGGGTGCAATACCTGTATGTTAGAGATTCTCACTACCAGTTTTTAGAGGCTTCAGCTCTTCTAGTGGCTGTAGGAGCTTCATTAGTTCTCTTCTGGATTGAATCCATCATAGCTACAGGCCTTTTTTAGCAGAATAGAGTTATCTCACCAGGCTAGATGTGCCTCAAGCAAACTATGGATTAGTGTTTTTTTGTTACTGTTAAGCCTCACCCTGAGACTTCACTTTCCAGGTCTGATGGGAAAGGAGGAGATGAATAGTGTCTGACAGTTCTCTTATAACAGCCATGCCAGTAAGGCAGTTGTGCTGGAGCAGCTGTGATATTGCTGCTGTTGGTGCAGAGCTATTCCACAGCATTTCAGATCTCCTGATCTTACAGGTGTGTTCACTGGACCGTTCTGCTGTTCACAACACAGGTACCCCCACAAGCTGAAAGGAATATTTATCTCCTCTCTAAGATGGGTCATCCCCCTAAGTACTGAGTGTGGTGTGATTTACTGCCACGGCAGCCTCGAAAAATCCTCTTTCCTGACTACATTCCTCTCACCCTAATGCTCATTCAGCCGGTGCCAGTTCGTGTTGTGTTAAGCTCAGGAAGCGAAATGAGCAGAAGGTCTTTGTGTGCCTGAGACCTTCAGCCAGGACTGGTGTCCCATTGTTAGCAGGGAGAGTCCACACTTATCTAGTTACCACCCGAGAACACATTTCCTGACGGCCACATTGTGCTTTCCGTGCCTGCACTTGGCAGTATTTCTATCAGGGCTTTTTGATGAGCTTTACTCGCTTCCTTTGATTTTCATTTACAGATCAGCCATGCCCTCTCAAGGTTAAACCTACTTTGTCTGTCCCTTTACAAACCAATTCTTTGCATTCTTTAGAAATGTAGCAAACGACAGAAAGTCACACTCCAAGACAAATACGCAGCTGCTGTGGGGATGGATTAAAGAATCATAATGTACTTGTTTGAAATGCTGTTTTCAGGACATAAGGGTTATCTTTTTTTTTTTTTTTCCCCAAAACTACCAGCAAAGAGTAAACAACCTGTTAAAAAAAAAGTCTAATGTTAACTTGTATAGGGAAAAGTGATTCTGGTGTTAATTTTTTCAGTGAGTTCATCAAATTGCATCTAACACACATAGCTTCACCTCCTACCTGATAGTTTCATGACTCACTCTGTTCTAATCTGAATTCTAACCTCTCTTGGATGCAAACTCCTGTGAGCTTGGTCAGCCAACCCATAGCACCTCATTTCCTCATCCATTTTTCTTTCTGTCTTTTTCTGAACTAGCACCTACCTTTCCCAATCTCTCTTGTATGCAGTGCATTAAGCATCTCCTGTCCAGTGACTGTCTTTGCTTGCCTGAATGGTTAACAGGTTCTTTTTGGCCTGTCACTGCCTACATGTTTTGCTGCAGTACTTACTATGTGCAACCACTCAACATTGTTATTTCTCTTGGTCTGTCTCATTAAATAGCACATCTCAGCTCCTTTCTTATGACCAGTCCAATTTGAAATCCTAATAGTATATTTATTAACTAATTTAAATAAAAAAAAAAACAAAACAAAATCACAAATCAGTAAGCCAGCAAAACTCTGTGTGGGAAAAAGCCAACACTCAAGCTTTTCACCTGACAGTCCTTCAGCAATTGGTGTCTGTTCCGCAGACAGGATATTCTAAAGATAAAATGAGAATCTGCAATTTCTCTTTTGTTTTACTTTATAAGACTGTTCAGTACAGATGGAGACAAGAGAACAGAATATTAGTTAGCTGAAGTCACCGAAACTAAACTAAATTACACAAAAAGTCCAGCACCTGGTTTTCTAATCCATAGAAGAAGAGGGATCTGTCAAAGCTGGTTCATCTGCCATCTGGCATGTATTTCCTGTACCTGTCTCTAATCTTGGGCTGATTTTTGCTGGCACATTTCCAGAATAAAATAAAGGGAACTTTAGCTTAATATTTTCCCTTTTACCTGCTTCCTCTGCAAGTCAGGAACATTGAAACTGCGTATTTTTAAAAAGCCCTTAAAAGTTTATTTTCTAGCTTTATTTTTGGTCAGGGAAAATTATGAAAAAGTTGTTTTTTCGGTGGAAAGTTGCTGATAGTCTGTTCCTCTTGATCTCTCTGTGATATAATTTGTCTTTGAATCTCATGCTTTTCCCAATTGGTTTCAATGGGGTAAAAAGGTGTCCAGGACGTGTCTGGTGATCTCATCTATGGAGACATTTACAACACCTCCATTCAGTATTCCTCCTCCAGTGACCCACCTGATCACTCTTCACTTGAAGCTGGAATCCTTTGCTGTGAGTGAGACCCTGAATAATAATGAGTGAGAGTACTGGGACAGATTTTAAACATCTCCTCCCTCCTGACTTCAGGACAGCTTACAAATTTTTAGTTAAAATTCTGTTCCTTTTTTTTTTTTTTTTTTTCAATTTGGTTTGGTTTTTTTAGTTTTGTTTTTTAGTTAAGTGAATTAATTTTCTGAAGCAGTTGTTTCCCATGTCATGATGGCAATATGGCAACAGCACTGAATGCCTTCTGCTCTTCTGTGTTTCAGACAATTCCTTCCCTCTTCTCCCAGTCACTGTTTTCTAACTTAAACAGAAAAGGCAAATCTTGAGGGTAAATAACCAGCCTTTGACACACCAGCTTGTGTGGCTGCTCCAAGCTGAACAGTGAAGTACAGCAAATGCTCTGGGTTTCCCAGGAGGCTTGAGCATGAGTGTGAGCCCTGCTGCTGCACCGAGTGTAGGCTGTTGACCTTGGAAGTGAAACAAAGATCTTGAGCCATGGGTTATTCATCCCAAAAAAGGGAGAGCACCTATGTGATGTACCTTGTTTGACCCTGAATGGTTCAATATCACATTTCCTCAGCGTCTATTTGCTGGTTTCCATAGCTTAAACTACAAAAAACCTGAATACAACTCACCAGAAAAATTGGATAATTGTAAGGTAAATTAACGAACTCATAGTAATTACTGCTTCATATTTGATGAGATGCATGTTCTGGACATCAACAGATGCTGTTTCGGTTGGTTGTTGCTGGTTTTTTAAAAATCTTTCTTTTTTTTTCCCCTCTGAAACATTGTAGGATGGATTTTATTTGAATCAAGGTTTCCTCTGTGTTTTCTATTCTCAGGGCTGGATTGTATTGTTGTGGCCACTTCTAGCAGCATCATCCCTAGGGGTCCATAATCCCTGACACTTGCCCTGCCTTTTCTGGACGTGCCTGGGTACTGGAGCCATCACTGCTGGGAAGTCACCGTCCAGCCACGGTGGAAAGGAAGGGAGGTGACCTTCCCCAGGTCACTCCGTGAGCTTATGGCTGCTCTTCTCTCTCCCACTCATCCTTTATGAACCCACTGACCAGCAAGCTCCTCAGGGAACCAAAGTTCCTCGGCTGCTCTCTGTCCTGTGAATAGCTGAAAACTGTGTTTGAGTGGTGAAGGCAGTGGACATGATTTCTAAATTTCCTTTCACAGTGGTGCTCACCTGTGTGACAGCTGCCTGGCTCGTCAAGAGAACACTTGCTTTCCTTGCAAACTCACACCTCCTCCCCCTATCCCTTGCCCTTGCTTGTACAGAGCAATCGAATAAAAAGGGTCTAATGCAACTGGCAAAAATCCAGGTGTTTTTTCGCACAAATATCCAAAAAATCTCTCTTGAGGATGTTTACTCAGGGCTTGTTAATTAGGAGGGTAATGATTTCAGAGCCAACCTCCAATCCCCTCACAAAGGTGTTGATATTCCACTGTGGAAAAGAAGATCCATTTTGCCCCAGTGCATGCTCATAATTTCACTCACTGAGATGCTCCTTTTGTTTCAGGGCTGATGTTATGAAACAATAACCTACAAAAACAGTAATTCCCTTGAAGATAATCGCTGTTGGAAAGGGGAGCCTTGCTTTACAGTCAATGACTTTGATGCCTTGGGTAGTTCAAGTAAGGATCTGCCTTGATTGACAAGACCCTTTCTATAAATTTGGGCAATTAAACAACCCAGTAGCAGCTGCTGGGGAGATCCACTGATCACAAAGCTGACAAAGATTGCTGTGCAGGTCTCCTGCTGCTCACTCTGACGTCCTTAAACATCATCTGCAATTTAAAACTGCAAAAGGAATTCTGACTCCAACAAGTTAGGTGAGTGTGTGTCTGTGTTTGCTCCCTGTCATGGCTCCAGCTCATGAATGAAGCAGCAGGGTTTGCTAAAGTGACCAAGAATATATGTTTGATTTGTTCAGAAGTTTTTCTATTTTACTCTCATATGTCTTCCTTTAAAAATATAGAATTCTAGCATTTTTTTTTTACTCTGTTGAAGCTTATATATAAACATCTCATTTAATCACATGTAGGACTTTAGTGTATGCATGGTGACATATGAAGCAAGCATCGTATGCTGATCTAATGCTCTGATTTAGCAAATTTAAAGCATTTGGCTTAACAAGAGCTTAGAGACTCAAGCATCAGCCAGGGAAAAGACAGACCCAGCTCACTTAACTTTGGTCTATCCAGCTGAGGACACAGGCCAGTGCACACCAGTCTGTGCCCCGTGCAGTAGCTGACTTTCTCAAAATGAAGTGTCAAGTCTGGGTGGATATATCTGAATGCAGTGCAAGTACCTGAAGTATAAAATGTATCTCGTGGCTTAGAGCTACTTTCCAGTTCTCTTTTTTTTTTTGACAGAGAAAGTTTTTCAGAAAAGCCAGTTGCTTTTTTTTACTAAGGCAGAAGGTCAACAGGTATCAGAAGGTCTTGGTGGATGCTGGGCTGCTCAGGTGAGAGGAGTTCAAGCCTCCTCTGGTCACCTTGGCTGTGTCCCCCCTTGCCTAACCAGCTCTGATCACTGGCTTGGCAGCCTCAGTTGGGTCTGAGCTGACTGTAGGGCAGTGTGTGCCAAAGGGAAAACCAGACCCCTGGCTGCAGCCCTGGGAGATGAACAGCACGAGTCCAGTGCTCAGGGTGTTGGTAATGGCAGCTCCAGGAACACTTTTGGGAGATGCTGAGATTATAGCACAAATTCAGGGATGCTTGGCTCCTAACTGCTCAGCTATTGGCCTTGTGTGAGCTCAGGGCAACCCAAAAGGGCTGGTAGAAAGGCATCTGCTGCAAAGCAACCCTGAAATATGGAGATTTCAGTGGGGCTGAGGCACTGGCTGGTGGCTTTATCTCTTCCAGGCAAACTCCCACTGCTCTGCAGGGAAAGTCTTCACTCTGCTGCTTTCTCTGGCAGAACTTTTTACTGAGATTCCCCACTTCTGGGAGTAGGTGACCCCCCATTCCTCTGTCTGCCCATCTTCTCTCAGGCTGAGTGACGATGGGGAACAGTGTGTCCAAAGGCATGAAGGGGTTTCCCAGCTCCATCTTAGCCTGCCCACTTGCCCTTCTTGCCTCCTGGCCCGTGCTGGCTCTCCCAGCACTCCACTGCTCTCCCTTCTGCCTCAGCATGAAGCTCCACTGTGTGATCCTGGGCGCTCTCCTTCTCCTGCTGCTGGGGGGCTGTGGCAGCACACTCAAGACCTCTGCCATCGACCTGAGGACCTTCATTGGCTGCGCCGTGCGAGAATTCACCTTCCTGGCCAAGAAACCCGGGTGCCGGGGGCTGAGGGTGACCACGGACGCGTGCTGGGGGCGCTGCGAGACCTGGGAGGTGAGGCTGCAATGGTGGGCACTGACACCCCTGGGTGCTGCTTCCTCCCCCCAGAATCCCTCCACAGAAACCCACCCGACATTAAATAGCTTGTAGGTATCTACTAAACAGACAAGGGCTGTGTCCCACTCCAGGACCCCCTCGCTACCACCGACAGCGGCGTTTGTGGTCGGTTGTTCCCTCCCTCCTTCCCCTGCCCCAAAGGGGGATGGACGTCATGTGATGACATCAATGAAGCCCTTATGTAAAACTCTTACTGCACAATCTGAAAGCCTCTTAAAGCTTGAATGCTTCAGGAGAGAACTTTATTACTTTTCACTTGAAAAAAAAAAAATTCCTTTGAGATTAAGATGGAGCTCCTGATTGATGGGTGATATATTTTGTTCCAAAAAGGAAATCCCAAAGATAATGTCTGTTTCTAATTTGGTCCCGTTTTAAGTCACAGCGCTGTGTAAATATGAAGTATTTAAGTTTTAGGGGTGTACAGGGGGAGGAAGAAAGAGTATAAGTACATCTACACTCAGGTCAGAGAACAACTTTCTGACTGTCTTTGCCTTTCTGCCACTGGAAGGCTCAAGGGGCCAATCCCAGTTTAATTTATTCAGGGAAGCCTTGAGACACTCAGAGGGATTTTGCTACATGAAGGCAAGGTCTGCATAGGTGACCAGAGGAGGAGGTAGGGTTTGTAGGACAGCTCTGACTGCCCTCCTTTTGTGACTTGGTGAGACAAGAGGGAAGGCCACCAGTGACCAGATTCCATGGTGGGATAAGGTTCCTTTGAGGGACGTCTTGACACCTGGTTTCCCCTACCCCCAAGCTCCTCTGGCAGCACAGACTTTTCAGACTCTCTTAGTGTATTACAATACCACTGGGGTGTAGTTCAGCTGAATTCATCTGGCTGTAGGCTCAACAGCTTCTAGGAAGCAGCACGATGTGCTTGGATGGGGAGTTTGTAAGAGGGAGGGTGTCTGGATATCTTCTTGATGAGATATTGCATCTGTTCTCTTCCATGCCATCATTCTTGTTTTCCAGGGAGGGCTCTTTACGCAGCAGAGAGTGAAAGAAAGAAATTAAAGTGTCTTCTGGCTGTGTTATCTTATGCTGTTTCCCATCTGTGCAAGTGAGAGGATGACAGTGGACTCCCACTGCTGTGTGCGCTGCCCCTTCTCGGAGCCTTTGGAAAATGGGTGTCCCTGTTAGGAAAAAAAATAATTTTTCAGCAAAAGCAATGCCACTGTGATACCACATGACAGTGTGGGTTTCAAGGCCTTCATGCTCCCATCATCTCCTGATGGCTGAGGTCTCTGACCAAGCTGTTTTTCTCAGGAGGAGCTGCATGCTTCTCTGATGGCTGCTGTGCTGAGAGCTTTCCTCCCAGTGTACACCCATTGGGCTTTGTGAGACATGCAGCCTGACTGGTCTGGCTGAGAAAAGCTCAGCCCTTGGCACCTGAGTGCACCCCTTCTCTTAGTCAGATTGTGCACGTGGAGGGGTTTCCAGCAGAATGTGTTTAATGGAAAATCAATGCTTTTGGAAGAAAGCAGATGCTTTTGGCAGCATTTGGTCGAAACACTTGTATTCTGCTGAAAACCAGGTTTTTGGATAATCTTTTGTCTTCCTTCAAGCAGTTTTTAATTGGAGCTTTTATGCTTTAAACAAACTGAAACACGCAGATACACCACCCCCAACCCCCCGTGGCAGGACTCCAAAAGGCAAGTGTTGAAGGATGCAGCCTAAAAATTATTTCCATGTCCCCTTCCACCTGATCTAGTAGCTCCTCTATTTACACTAAATCCCCCTGAGGAAGCTGGGACTCCAGATGTCTGTCTTGCCTGAGGCCCTCATTTCTCCCCTGCAGAAACCGATCCTGGAGCCGCCTTACATCGAGTCCCACCACCGGATCTGCACCTACAACGAGACCAAGATGGTGACGGTGAAGCTGCCCAAGTGTGCCCCTGGCGTGGATCCCTTCTACACCTACCCCGTGGCCATCCGGTGTGACTGTGACATCTGCTCCACCGCCACCACCGAGTGTGAGACTTACTGAGCTCCCTCCACAGCTCAGGCAGGGAGGGGCCGAATTCTCCCCCAGCTTCACACCCCTGGTACCTCCAGCGTTGCTGAGGATGTAAATCGGTCCTGAATTTGATCTCACCCTCTAATGCTCCTAATCATTGACTTCTCTGGGCAGATGAGGCTTAATCTCCTCTCCTCGTGCTGTTCAAAGCATTATTGCTGTAGAAACCTAGTGCACAGCCTTACAATAGCAAACCCTGTGGTAAAAAGAAGTGATGCAGTTTCCCTTCCTCATGAGCTTTTCACGCTGTGTGACCTTTTCTCTGTGTACAAAGTGCACACGGACTAAGCAGTCACTGGGGGGTGGAAACAGCTCACAAAGGCATTGCCTCCTCTGTAACAGCCTCCTTATTCACCTGGGGTTTAACTCCTTCCCGGTAACATAAATGCAGTTACCACCATTGCCACCACCTCACTCTCCCACCCTCCCTCCATTAGTTATTTTTCAGGAATAACAGTCAAAGAAAAATGTCTTAAGGCCAAAGAAATGGAAATGAGTATCCAAATTACTACCTTGAAATTAGGGTGAGTGCATACTCAGTCCTGACTCAGCCAAGTACTTAAGCTCATGATTAAGTGTTTTGCTCAGTATCAGTGGACTTTTACAGTTAAGTAGGTATTTGAGTGCTTTGATTAATTGGAGTTATTTTTCTGAAAAAAAAAATTTGCCTCACAAGTGACAATTCCTTGAAAAAAGAAAAAAGAGAGAAACACATTAATGTGTAGAACCATCTGCTTTCGTCCAGGGATTGGAGGGGGAATGGCTTCATGTAGAATCAGCAAGAATCTGCAGAGCCCAAGGAGTCTCTCCTGACAATTTCCAGAGTTAGAGGGTCTAAGCCAAAATGCAACGATCATGATTTGGTTTCAGCGAGCCCCTGGCTGAGATGGTGGGAAAGAGGGGGCTGCAAAGGGTGTTCCCACAGTTCCCTGCACTGCCAAGTTCCACGGAGACCCGCTCCTCTGAGGATGCACAGGGGGCTGGGGGACAGCCAGATGTACTGACAGTAAAGCTGTGGAGTATCCAGTAATGCTGGGTGAGACAAGCCCAGGACAGGAAAGAGAGCAGACAGGCCAAAGGACAGTTCACACCTCCTCAGACCTAACTAGGGGGGACATTGGGGAGCTGCTGCAAGAGCCCCCTGTGACCACAGCCACAGAAGTGCTTTTGTCCTCTGGTTCCCACCTGCAGGAGGACAGATCCACATTCATCCCTCATTTCCCCCCTGAATAAAATGGGAAATTATGTGAGCACAGGAAGATTTGCCAAGTGGGAGAGGCTCACAAGAGCTTACAAAACAAAGACACCTTCTCAGATAGCCATTAGGAGAGAACTGTTGCTGAGAGTAATACCTGCACCTGCCTTCCCCCCATACAGTGCCTTGTCTTCTGGATGCAGTCACCTTCATTTCTGGGGATGCATGCTTGAAAATTCCCCAGGTGTACTGTCCTCACTGAGACAGATCTAATTTAACCTTCAATTTATTAGTTGATGTCATTTTTTTCTGTCAGTGGAACTGGAAAAGCTGCACTGTGACTGAGTAGGAAGGAGGTGATTTTATCACTCTGTCTTCTCTAATTTTGAATAGAGACTGCTCTGTCCAACAGCAGAAGTTTTCTGCTGATGAAGAGTTTAACTAACCCTCCTTTAAAAAGTCCTCATGGTTTGTTTCAAATTGCATCTCACAATCCCTCTGATGTTGTTAACTGGCATCACAGTTATTATGGAAAAAGTATAAATTATTTTGTGTCTTTAATAAATCTCACCATTGTAGCATGAAAGCAATTTAAAGCAACGTGTCCCTCTTTATTTATGCATAGAGATTTCTCACGTAGAATATGTATAAACTCCTACAAACTCTTTGCCAGAGCTGTGAACACCTGCAAAACATCTCCTCGATGTGAAGTCATTTCCTTCACTGAGTTTCTCTGATGGAGTCTGGCTGTGCTATAGTCTCAGGATTAGAGGTAGGGTTAGAAAGTGGCAAACTTACTTCCTTTGCAGCCAGCAGGAAATAAGGGCTGTACCCAGACACGGTGAGACAGTAGAAACCTCAGCAAGTGATCAGACAAAAACACTGCAGGGCGTGAGAAGAGTTTTGAGTGATGCAGCCAGACTGGGGGGCAGAAGAGGAAGGTGGGAAGGATGTACTGTCTGAGCCCAGTCAGTAAAAGACCACTTCAAGAGGGTCTTTTAAGGAGAAGAGCCAAGGTGTCTGCTGATGCTGTGTTTTTGTCCTGAGTGACAAAAGTCCAGCTGACACCAGAGCCCAACAACCCATTTTCCATGGAAGTGATTGCTGGAGGGATTTAAAAAATGTATAAATGTGGCACCTGGGGACATGTTGTAATTGTGGGCTTGGTGGTGCTCGATTAGTGGTTGGACTCAATGATCTTAAAGGCCTTTTCCAGCCTAAATGATTCTATGATACTGTAATTTGAGTGGTGCACATCCCTCTTCATCCAGCTGTGCTGAGTTCCTACAAGTAGAGAAACAACACTGACTTTCGAGAGACCAACTTCACTCCTGCCCCTGGGGCTTTTTTCTCAGAAGTCATTACGGTACTAGGTCTTCATTCTGTTAAATTCCCACTGATTTTGATACTTAAAATCATTGAATGGTTTGGGTTAGAAGGGACCTTTAAAGGTCATCTTGTCCAAAACCCCCACAATGAGCAGGGACATCTTCAATTAGACCAGGCTACTCAAGGTACCTTGAATGCTTCAAGGAATGGGGCATCCACTCCAAGCAACATGTGCTAGTGCCTCCCCACCCTCACTGGAAAAAACTTCTTCTTTATATCTTGTCTAAATTAACCTTCTTTTAATTTAAGACTATGACCCTTTATCCTGCTGCAACAGGCCCTACTTGTGACCAGGTCTCCAAGATTTCACATTCTTTATGTTGCAGCTGGGATGGTATGTCCTACTTAGAATTTGCAGGCAGTCAACATAGCCTCTATATTTCAGAGGATGAGAAGCCCCTTCCCAAAGCCATCTTAACCATAGTGGGAGTATTTTAACACTCCTTAAATCCACAGATTTAAATCTCATCATCCCATCTATCCAAAGCAGTTAAATGACCCTTCTGTTTTTTGGTGCATGTTTGCAAGAAGTGTTTGTGACAGACTGTCACGTCTCAGGTATTATCTCTCCCATGAAAATCAGTGGGGGTTTTTGTGCCTCAATTTCCCTTCTGGACACTGGGAATGGATATATGCATGACTTTTTTCTTCTCTGCTGTGTACTTTGGAGTGTAAGATCACAAGGCTGTAAAGTCCTTTGTGATCAGTCATAACCGTATCCTGCACAGCACTCAGTGTCTCAGGTTTCTTGTCACTCTTTTAACCTGAACAGCAATAGTCACTATCATGCCCTGCTTCGATTTGTCACAAGACTTCCCTGTTCTATGACAGTGACAAAAGCTCAGCTCCCCTCATTCCCATGCTGCAGTTGGTGTGCCCCGCCAGACTGACCATGCCAGAAATCAGCATATTTTACACCACCTCCAGACCTGAGCTACCGTGAGAAGGAGGGCAGGATGCCTCCCTGGATGGGTGTTTCCTGCACTGACTGGATTTCTCTTAGGGGGACAGGACAGGCAGCTCCCTCTGCTCTCATTGTACTCCTGTGAAAACAGAGGAACCTCCGCCCTGGGTCAGAGCAAAGGGCTGTCTCGCCCAACATCCTGCCACGGACAGTAGCCAAGCGTGGATCTTCAGGGAAATGTGAAAGCATCAGGGCTGTACAGAGATATCCTTCTCTGCCTATATCCACACAGATTTATCTGGCAGCAGTTTAGGAAGTTTCTGCTCTGGGGGACGCCTTCGACACCTTGTTGTTAACCCCAGATGTGCAGGTCCTTCCATGCCACTTCTTCCCAGATAAAGTCTGGCCATGGAAAGTGTGGTGAGTAATACCATCTTCCTCTGGGGACAGATAAATCAAATATATTCCAGGCTACATACTGTGCCCTCTTGGATGGTCCTGTATCCTTTTATAGCAGCCAAGGATTTGAGCTGCAGTGCCTTTTTATTAGGAATAGACCTTGATATGCTTTGTCTTTGCTCTGCGAGTGAGTGCCCCAGGCAGGGCCTGGTTAAACCCACTGAGGTTCACAAGCTGCAGAAACACAAAAAGAGCCTTTCTCTGGTGAAACTTGCTTTAGCCCAATCAGTGTAAGGGACGTTGTTCAGAAATGGTGGGATTTATAGCCTTAACTTAAAGACCAGACCAGCTGATCAATGGGATTGATTCTGGTCTTGAAACAAATTCTAATGAAGACCTACATAACGAAGGCACTACTTTTTTTTGTTTGTTTGTTTCTAAACAAGATCCACATCTCTGCACTAAGTCCCTGGAAGACTGGGGCCAGTCATGTTCTTAATTTCAGTCCATCAGGGCTGTCTTTCCTCATGTAACTTCCTCATCCCTGTAAGCATTTAACTTTCCCTCCTGACTCTATACCTGCCCTACCTGCTGGACCACAGGTAACACAACTCATTATCTTCCTTGCCATCAGCAAGGGTTTATTGGGAGGGTTTGTTATCCATGTGTTAGGTAACAAACTCCCCTCAAAACTCCTAGGCTAACATTTTTCCACCTGCTTCACCAAGAGAGCTGCTGCTAGGCTGCCGTACCCTCTCTTCTCTCCAAAATGCTTCAGATTTCCATTCAAACAAGGAAAAAAAATCTTCTTACGGTGCTGTGATAACACAGTGGAGACCACAGACAGAAATTAAAAGCAAAATGAAATTTTAACTGACAGAGCAACAACCAACCACCTTAATATTGATGGAGAATGGAGAACTAAGTATCTCCAGGCCAGTCCCTGAGGGATACCCTGGGACCAGAGTAAGCTAAAGGCTATGTGCCATCAGGGAGCCAGATCTGCAATTCCCACACTTCCACCTTTCTGTGTTTCCAGGCTGCAGGGGATTTGGTCAAGCAACAGTTTCCCAAGAGGAACATGCCCCAAACAAACCTGCTGTGTCACCTCCTGTTTGACTTTCTGCAGGAAAGTGCAGGTGGTTTCAGGACAATCCAAAAGCAGCCCTGTATGTTAGTACAGGTTTTTCCTACCTGAAAAGTCCTGAAAGGTGTATATGTGATCAGCATCTGGGAAAATAAACACAACACCACACACCACACCTTCTCAAAAGGATGCTGTCAAAATACTTAGTAATACATTTATTTTGTTAAAATAAACTATGTACAATAGACGATATTAATGTGCATTACAATATACAGTAATTACATGTTTAAAAGAGGATAAACAAAAGAGTACAGAATTATGTGCTGTAAATAGGAAACTAATACTGTTTACATGATTTTTAAACTATGCAGAACTAAATCGCTGGAAAACCGAATTTCCTTGGTTTGAAATTGTATTGCTTTGACGTGAATTCTGAAGATCTGGTTAATCTTTAAAAAGAAGACATATCACTCAAAAGTCAGACATAATGTTTTAGTGCTCATCCTTTGGTTTCACCAGCCCCAGATTCCAGCAGTATTGCACACAGCAACTTTTAAGAGAGAAAAATTCAGTTGCTCACATCAAGTAAATGACTCCTTTTCTCAGCTGGCTGAGATCTGACTGATGATGCATTAGGTCCTGATCTGTGCTGAGGTCATTGCATCTGATTCACAAACTCAATTATAATAACTTGTTGCACTGTTACTTTTAAGCATTGCTTAGCGAACACTTTTGAGTATTACTATAAAGTAAACACAAAAAGGAGGGAAATAAATTTCCTTGTCTTTGTGTTCTCAGGGGAGCAGAGAATCTCTGTGCAGTGAAATGCCTGTATTTGACAAGTGCATCAACATCATAACAGGTGTAACTGGATTCAGTTATCATCGCACTGCCTCTCCCTGCTCCTCTCTGCAGCCTTCCTTGAAGTCCTCCCAGTCTCAAGGTGCTGCTGAGCTCCAGGTATCCTGGTGTGACTCCACAGAGGCACCTCTGAGCCCTTTCACCAGGCTCAATCCATAATTTTTGGGGAAGCATGGACAACATGCTATGCCTTGCTCTGTAGCATTTCCCACCTGGTAACCTGTGCTCACCACCTTAGGTCACTTCTGCTCATGAGTGAAGAAGACTTTGCCGATGTCTTTCCCCTCTCACATAACTTTGTGTTATTGCTCATTAATGAATTAATATTTGCAAGTCTGGGGAGAGTTTGGGCTCATTTACTGTATACTGACAAGGCAGTTCAGTGCCTGCCAGGTCTGTAATGCAGTTAAATCGAGCAGCTGCCTATTTTTGGGGTGAAGTATTGGGAGAGATGACATGACAGTCATACTATGGGTATGTCTTACACCCAAAGTTCTTTGACAGGCATGAGACCAAATTTTCTGTATGTTATCAATACAAATAGCTGTTGTGTCGGAAGATCCAGAAACTGTAGACTGGTGACAACTGTTTACTCTGAGTTCATTAACCTCTGATCAAAGTCAAAATTCACCAGAGTTGATATCAGTGAGAGCTCAAACTGATCTTTGGCAAAATCAAATTGAATCGGGCATCCTGAATGGGATGAGATGAAATTAAGTGACAGCAAGGAGTGCAGTATCAAACTCAGCAAGGAAAACCATTTATCTTGAATATTACACTGTTAATGTAACTATTTTCATCTTCAGCCTAGTAGTGGTAGGAACACAGAGTTTCAAATCCAGCCTCCAAAGATCAGATCAGCAAAGTCTCCAGATGCCCCATCTCCTTTCAGGAGTCCACAACCAGCAGCCAAAAGGTATAAAAGATTCTTGGACCTGGTTCAGCGTGTCCATGTGCTCAAAGCTTGGTCAGCCAAAATAAAAGGTTAGAAAAAGAGGTAATATAAAGACTCTCAAACGTTTTCCACATTAGCCATGTGTGGACCCCATTGAAATTTTCCATTGCTTTCATAAGAATTGAAATGAAGCCAAAATATGGCATCTTTGAAAATCCCACCCTAACATTATAGTTAGAGGCTGCCAAACCCTGCATTATGTTCTGCACAATCTGGAAGGGGGTGGGGATCAGGCTCAAAGTTTTTTTTTTGTTACAATATTTTCAAAGTTAGAGATTTTTAACTATTGACAGCAATTCACATGGTTTTTGCTTCTTGCTCTGTGATATATGAGTTTGTGAGATCATTTTCTTTCTACAATGAGCATCTGATTATTTTTGCTGTTCTGGTGGGGTTCCTGGAACTGCCCAGGAAAAATACATTCATGGTCCCATGTTTCTGCAAGCTTTAACTGAAACAAAGAAAAGAGAATTGGAAGTTTTGCTTTCATTCTAGTTATGGGCGTCCCCTTAACACCTTAAAATAAAATTCAGGTTTTAGGATCAAACTGACTAATTGTGACTCTGGTCCCTGATTTTGCAGCTCTCCCCCAAAGCAGAAGTGTAGATGTGATTCTGTTGCATTTGTGACTTCTAATTGGTGATTTTGTCCCAACTTTTTGATGCAAAAATACTCCTGTTCCTGTTTTGTTTTGATAGGTGAAGACAGCTGAGATCACAAGCCACTACCGAAAGCAGTGGGAGGCTTTTTCCTGCTTTCAGATGGTCTTTATTCATGAAGAGGAAAATAAACATTTATAGTGGAAATTTGTCTTCATTTTTTACATAGAGCTCAAATGTGTCTAGAAGTTATCTGACGTAGGTCTCTCCATGCTCACCTCCTGTCACAGCAGATGCTCCTCCAGTCCTATAGAGTTGTGAATCAAGAAAATGTTCTGTTATTTCCAGATTTGCTTTTTTTACGTGGGATAAAACACATTACAAATTCTCCTCAGGGGAAAGGAAAATACACGGAGAAAGGCATGTGCAGCCAGATTCCTGCATTCTACCTGTTTGTTGAACAAATGGTCCCAGGGCCAACATGAGCATATGTTGATTGCTTTCCTGGAGAAGACAAATGTGCTTTTAAACAATCCTGACTTGAGACAGAGTGATGCCACTGCAAACTATTTTTAATCCAGATGAAGTTCCAGTATGGTGAATCAAGAGGTACTTGCTGTGCCACTTGGGGAAAAAAGGTACAGAAAAAGTCATGGGCTGTAAGCAAGATATAAAAGCAGATGGGCATCTTAAATATCTGAGTTAAAGGGAGAAATAGACTGCCTAGGGAAGTAGTGGAGTAGGCATTCCTGAAGGTATTCAAAAGACATATAGATGTGGCACTTAGGGACGTGGCTTAGTGCTGGGCTTGGCAGTGCTGGATTGATGGCTGGACTTGATGATCTTAGAGGTCTTTTCCAACCAAAATTATTCTGTGATTTTTGTGAGGACAGGGCAGCTTGCACAGTGAAAATGCACCTGCTGGACAGATACCATTGGTGTGACCGACCACTGTGTCACTGCTCTATGTGAGGCTGGGTGCAATAGAGGTGCATATGAGGGGAGACAGCAACAGAAATTGCTTGCAAGGACTTCTGCAATGTTTTTCCAGCTCCTGTAAAGGGTTCTCAGTTTGGATCTCTGGAGTCTTGGGACAATATCTTGGATGGGATCTCAACAGCTTGCTGCCGATGGGAAGTGAAGCTCATGCATCCTTGTCGCTGCATCCAGACAGTCACCTATAGAGAAATGTTTGTTCCCTGTTGTTCTCTGTTTGCTACAGTGGTTTTCCCACCCTTGGTGTGGCTTTCAGCCTCTTGATGAGAGTTGTAATGCAGTGACTGTTTCTGGGGGAGTCCTGCTTGGTTTGTGTGGCAGCACGGTCAAGGCTTTTCTCCTTTCCCAACTAATTTCTTGATTCTCCTTTCCCAACCCATTTCTTGGTTCTGCTCCACCACACTTCCTTAGAGATGGCACATACTACACAGATCATGGTGCTTAGCATGACAGACCATCAAGTGACTTGTAGAGTGTGCAGGGAATGGAAAACCACGGCTTTTTGTGGAACACAGGCCACCAATACTAGAGCAGCTGGAAGAGATTTTGTTGTAGGTTAACTACAGGGCAGGTCACAATGGCCATATTCAGCCTCTCTCCTTTATATGAGCAGTGTCAGTGGGATTGAATGAGAAATGAGGAAGTTGGAGACAGTTCCTTGTGAAGTAAGATTCTCTTCTGCAGGAGGAAGACTGCCAAAATCTGTCTCTTTAATAAAAGTATTTGGAATAATGTTATTTCATGTCAAGATGCAGCAGTATATTTAATTCTGTGTTTATTGTGAAATGAAATAGTGCTTTGAAAGACAAAAAAGGTGAGAAATATCAATGTCAGCTGCTGAAACGATTGTTTTGATTGTCAATCTGGACTTGGAGTGAATTCTGTAGTTTCCACCAGCAAGAAGAATAATTTTATCAGGACCAGTGCATGTGGATATCGAGGGAAAGACTCACATCCTGCCTCATGGAAGGCAATGAGAGGCAAGAGCTTGTAGTTGGTTGTTCTCTGTAAGCTATGCATTACTGTAACAGTAGTTATTTATATTAGAGAGAAGGTCTGGGACCATATGGCACATAGGAGAACCAGGGTGAGCTCATCTTGAGAACTGCTCACCACCACTCCTGGATGATGTAAGTACATGGGATGTATATCCTGTTGAATAAACAAGGATGGACCTACATAGGGTTAGAGCATTGTTTCTGTGTTCTCCCCAGGTTCTCTGAGCTCTGGGAGGCACAGGACAAACTGTGGAAGTCTTTGTGGGACCTCCTTCAAGTCATGCTGGAAGTGGCAGGATTGTCCCAGTTCCACCAGCCTGGTGTTTTTGCAGGGCTCTGGAGGGCAGAGGCATCTGTGGGTTGTTTAATGATGATATATGATATATGATATAAGGTTTTGTGTGAGATATCTCTCAAATACATAATACCTCTAATATCTCCTTGCAGGAGTCTGCATGAAAATACTTTAGGAACTCTGTTTGGAACTGGAACTTCAGGTTAAGAACTCCTGGTAGAACATTATGGTTTAAGAAGAGGCTAAAGGAGATGGGTTTTACAGGATCTAGCAGGTTTCCTGTAAGTTGTAAGTGCTTTTGAAATGACAGGAGACTATTAGCAAAGGCAGGTCTGTCAAGAAAGGTTTTGACATCAGCTGCAATAAGAGGATGTTGTCGAATAGGTTCCAGGGATGGTTTATAACCTTTATGACTCTCCTTAACTGTGTTCCTTTGAAGGTGAAATTGGGATCTGATTTCTAGCTCATCTTACAGTGAGAAAACCCATCTGCTTCCACCTGGCAATCCTGTATTGATTTTCTTTCCTTGTTACTAATGGTGCTTGAAAATAACTTCGAGTTTATATCTGTGGCCTTATGCCTGTGCTTGCACTGTGTCTGGTGTTGTGATATTTCTGAAAATAAGCTTTGCTGCCTGTTCACACACCATCTGTTGGCTTTTAGAGAAGGTATTAGGTATGACTTGCCAGAGAGTCAATGAATCTCCTTACATCCTACAATCCCTTTCTAAAGCCTATTGACCTGTGGTAGCTCTGCAACCCCAAAATAATAGTTAACAGGGCAGATCCTTAGGTAAGTGCCACATTCCATGGATAAGTGTGTGTACGTAACCTAAGACAGCAATAATGTTTATGGGACCTGCATTAACCATGGCTATTTTTAAAACATTTATTTTTGTTGGAAGAAAAATGAAAAATAAATGGAGTGCAGAGGCCTTTTCTCAGCAGACTGTGATCACTCTCCCTCCCTTGCAGCTCCCAGATGTCAAATTTTGGTCAAGATCAGCTTGAAAAACTTGAAATTTTACTGCCTCACAAACTTGATATGCTTCATTTTGTACGTGCAAATAAACCCCTGGTTAGTCTTAACATTTTTGTATGCATATTAACACTTTTCTATCTACTTTCTCCATGCAGTGATGTGTTCAGGGTGCTGTAGATTAACGCATTAGGACAGTAGCATTTTAGCTGCTACATCACCATGTATTTTGTAGTTAGTTTTGCTCAAATCCCATTTGATTTTTGATTCTATTCCCAATCCTATGCCATCCAATTAGTATTAATAACTATCCCTGGTACTTCGTGGCACACAGAAGTACCCTTTGATTATTTGTGGCTTTTCCTAATGCATGCTGGGACGTTATATTGCACTTTTGCAGTGTGCTCATTATGTTATGATGAGCTCAACTGTCACTCTAGATTTCTATTTCCTCTGCATTTTGTGAAGCTCTAAGAATACCTGGCAGCTCCAACCTGAGTGCTTGCATTGTGCTCCAGCTAAACCAGACTTCACTTACTTCAACCAGACACTTGTACATGGACTCTACAGCAACCTACATGAGCTAAAACAATTTCCCTAACTTATTTCCACTGAAGTAAATGGCAGCACAGTGAAGATATATTTTTTCTCTGAAATGTGTTGAAAGCTTTTTTTTTCACTTCAGTGGATTTCTAGTCATGTTGTAGGCCAACAACCATTACCTAAATATTAATTTCTTTAATCCACTCCTAGTTCTCCTCATGCTCTCCTAATATCTCTTTACACGTTACAGTTCAGCTGGTTGCCAGTGTCCTGGTGGGGTGAACACTCACTGCTCTGCCTGGGGATGGCAACAAACTCTGTGGCACAGCACAGATCCCTGCACTGGGCTTTGGAACTGTCCTTCCTCTGAGCTGGGCTTTAGCAGCCAGGCCATCTGAAGTAAATGTTTGGGAACAAACATAAAACCAAACATAAAATATATACAAAAAAAAAAAAGCCAGCAGTGAGGACAACTTTCTTTTGTCTGCCTTTGGTTTAGCACAGCTGTGCTCTCATCCATGTTTGTGTGCAGTGGGAAAGGGATGGTGAGTGGAAGCCATCAGGTAACAGCAACAAGGCATTTGCCTTGAGTCTGATTGCTTTTGTCAGAGAGAACTGCTGATTTATAACTAGAAATGTGTCAGAGCTTGTTTCTGTAGGTGTCCAGGGTAAATTGGGGGTGGAACTAAATGATCTTTAGGGTCACTTCCATTGCAAACTGTTCCATGATTCTATGAAATGGAATTTGTGCTGAAGGAGGAGCTTGGATCCGTAAGCCTCGATGACAGCAGGACTGGGCACTGCATCAGACTTGGCCCCTTCCCTGTGCTGAGGGTGCAGTTCCTGTTGTCCTGCTGAAGTCACTCATTACTCCAAGCAACACCAGCTCTGTAGTTCACCAGCTTTTCTGGTGACATGTGTGTAGTCAGCTGCTGTTCTTCCAGAGACGAGAGGGCTGGCAGTCTTACAGGATAGGGTGTGTGGGGGCACAGGGTACGTGACCCCAGGCTGGGAGGGTGCACTACTGGTACTTTCTCACTCCAGGCACTTCTGGAAATGCTGGCTACTGCTTTTGCAAGGAGTTACATCAGACATCTTCAAATCTGTGTGTGCTGGGTACTGTGATTTCCTGTTTGGGGAATGAAATCCATAACAAGACAGTCTCATGGCACTGCCCAGGTACCCGAAGGCAGCTGCAAATAACAAGATGCACTTCGAGTTCACCTCTGAGTGCCTTTGTTGCTGTGATGTGCAAAACTACAGGATCTCTGGAGAGGTTTTAGCAAAAAGGCACGCTTTCTCCAGCAGCAAAGGGAGTTCACAGGCACCTTCCCTTCTCTTTTGGGCTGGACTTCCCATCTCCATGCTGCTGGCTGTCATTTGCCACTCATGGGAAAGTTCACTCCTGAGGACTGCAAACCACGCTGCAAATAAAGCATCACTCTCCTTGAAGATGGAAAAATGGGAAGAAAGAAAGAAGCAATCAAAGGGAGGAGGGAGACTACAATAAGTCAACGTTTGCAATCACTTTGATGAGGTTTTTTACAGAAATGCTCCACAAAAAAAGATAATCATAAGGCAACTGGATCACCTTAAAGCACTTAAAGTCAGTACGACCTTTGGCTTTTTGGTTATTGCTATTTTTGGCTGTTGGGTGAGATGTAGAAATCCAGCTGATCTATAAGGTAAATTCTCAGTTGCCATGGCAATGTGTCTCGTTCATGTTCTCAGCTGGAAGGGAGATTGTTCCACGCTGCTATTCCATGTCTAGGGCAATGTTCTTTGGTGGCAGAATTTCTTTGTTTCAGTTCATTAATGCTACAACTCTGTTCTTCCTTTCCCAGCTTATGGAAACATGGCTCAGCCTGAACGTTCTCCTGTAAAAATACAGTTATTTGCATTTTTTTTTGTTATAAGAACATTCCTTAAGTCTGGAGGTAAATGTTGGTCCATTTTGGTAGCTTGTGTGCAGCAACATCCTGATGCTGTGAAGTTTCACCATTAAGTGAAAATAAACTGGAATCACTCCACCTTTGCTTCCATGTTTGAACAAACTAAAGTATCTCTTGAACTAGCAAGTCTTATAAAAGAAAAGTAATTTTAAAGTACATCCTACCTATGGTGTATATCTTACATATTAGACTTCTACAGATCTCCACGTGCTTTCAGTCAATTTAGATTTAATTACTAAGTACTGCAAATTCCTAATTTTGATCAATTCTTACTTAAGGCCACAAATGGAGTTTCTCCTGTTTCTTTTACAGCCTTTAATTCTTTGTTTAGCCACATGCCACCTTCACCTTATTCCTAAGGTGAAGACCCAGGCAGGAGCAGGCATCCTGGTTTCTGTTGGCTCGGTTCAGTCTGTAGTAGTGGGAACAGGCTACGTACAGCTCCGGAGGGTTAGGAAAGCACAGAGACATGAGTTGGCCTAGTGTGATACAGCTTGGAGGTTTCACAGAATGGAGGGCTCCTGTATTTGGGTAAGAAGGACCCTTTTCTGGTCATGTTCCCCATTTCAGTTGCATGTGACCTTCATTGCCTTTCTAACCTGCTTGGTTTCATTGAACTCAGCTCGCTTCTCTTTCCAAGCGACTTCACACGAGGGTGCAGCATCTGTGGCACTTTGCACAGCGCTTCTTCTTCTTCTTGGGGTGGAAAATGGTCATGATTGCCTCGTCAAAGACAGTCTTAAGGCCTTTCTGTGTGAGGGCTGAGCACTCCAGATAGCACTGTGCTCCAATCTGAAAGAGAAGAGGAAAAAGTGGAGTACCCACTGCTGGGAAAGACAAAGTGACTGTTCCAGCATTTTTCTATGCACACATGTGTCCTGTCTCAGAGAGAAGCCAAGACCTTTAGAAAGGGGGTCAGGTCATTGTCTGTTTTATATCTGGCTGCCTGTGAGATGAAGGGACAAGGCAGGTGGTCATCCTGAGCAAGGGAGCAGGAATAAGCATCAACAAAAGTCTCTCGTCACAGCGCGTAATGGGGAGCAGGAATTCCCTGCACAGCTCTCCAGAGGGAGTTGGACCATGAGCTTGGCCTCCTGCCTGTGCAGCTGGGGAAGGTTTCAAAGAGACACTTATTTCAAAGAGATGCTGAACCCCTTCATATACTTGGCTCTTCTCCCCTGACTTGTCACTCTTATGTCCTGCCTCCTCCTCCAATGCCAGGGAGCTGTTACCTGGTGAGGACTTCCAGCTGGTTTCTGGGAACAGGGAAGTATCATTTTAAGATGAGATTCTCTTGGGGATGCTGGCATGACACAAACACACACAGTGGCCTGGGAATGCAGCCTCAGCTTATTCAGCAACCTTGTGGCTTACTCATCTTGTTCTGCTGTTGGATGCTCTCGCTGGCCTTTGAGGGCCAGGGCCAACAACAGCAAGGGGACCATATAAGGTGGACAAGGTTGGAGTCCAGAATCCTGCATTCCAGGGCTTGGGGAGGGCTTTTATCCCTCTATGTTCCTGGGGGAAAGGTGCAATATCACAGAAACCTTGGGAATATCTTCTCTGCTGCTTGAGGTGCAAAGGATAAGCGAGAATCAAGTTGCCTGTGCTTTTGCAAGGGATAGGGATGAGTTCGACGTGAGGTGGCTGCCGAGAGGGGTTTGCCATATGCAACTGCTGGCAGAACCCTGAACAGGAAACACTTGACTTAAGTAAAATAGGCAGTAAAATTTGTTTGATGCCCATTTGCCACCTGCTGCCCTGTGTACCTTGATGCTTTGCTTTAGAGATGGGTCACAACACCAAACCTGACAGAATTCAAGAAATATTTGAACAATTCTCTCAAGCACATGGTGTGATTTTTGGGGTTGTCCTATGTATGGCCAGGAATTGGACTAGATGGTCTTTTTGGGTTCCTTCCAGCTCAGAATGTTCTACAATTTTATTATTCAACTGGGTATGGCAGCAGAAGTACAGGCTTAGGGGTTGCAATGAGTGCCTGGGTCCAGCCTGCTTGGACAGAGGCTTTAATCTCTGTCTAGGACCACCAACATGCCCTGGAGAAGTTCACCTTGAATGAAACAAACCCAATGGAAAGGTGTGATCAGTGGATTTCATGGGGCCTCAGGAAAAGCTCTTACCTCCTTTGCTAACTTCACCCCGTGCTCGTAGGTGAGTGGTTTCTCCTTCATGTAAAGCAGCCGTGCCAAAGTTTTGGGATCATCCCGGAGATCAATCTAGTAGAAAATACACAAACTCTGTGCTGTAATTCTTAAGACAGGTATTCATAGCTTTACAGACCCAGATAAAGGCATCTGTCCTCTCCCAGTGCATCTTGGAAAGTGTTGGGAGAAGCCTGAGCTCTACTGGCAGAGGCAGCTGCTGCAACCCTGCACTGCATCACCAAAAACCACCCTGACAGGCCAGACAGACACAGCTCAGTCTGACAGACTTGAAACAAAATCCTTTATTTCCATGGAAAACATCAAAGTGAAGTATTCTGGCATTTCAAACTCATCCACTTTCAGAGTGTGTGATCCAAAGGGTAATACTTTTATTTTTAAATGGGTGTTTCAGATTATTATTCCAGTTTAGAAAACAAAGCCAGTGTTTGAATGAATGACCTTTCCTATGGCATGAAGATTTTGGTTTTGACCAGAATTTGATCTGTTTCTTTAACTTGGCTTAGGTTACTCTCCAGTGTTCTGACATTTTCCAGAGAGTTGTATCCCTGCTCTCACATTCTCTAGTCACTCTGTGTCTTGGAAGCAAACCCATATTTAAGGGATTTTTATTTGATTGATAAATTTATAGATTTTAAGACCTAAATAAAGTGGTTTGATCATTCAGTCTAACAATCACTATAACACAAGCAGGATGGTGACTCACTAGTTGCAATGTTGATGTAAAAGCATGAAGGGAGGCTACTTCCTTCCCATGTCTCTAAGTCATTTGGTTAATTATTCCCATTCTTAAAATTTAGTTTGAAGTTTAGCTTCTGCTTTTAACCACAGACTTTGATGGTTTTTTTTCCCCTCACTGAAGGCCTGTGTGAAATCTTTTCTCCCTATAGGTATTTATGCCTTGTTGCCACATTAATATACATTTGAATAAAAAGATGAAATGAGTTCTACCCATCCAGACATCTGCATGTTGGTTTCCATTCCCAGTCCCTGAGTTTCCCTCCAATGGGAAAATCTGGCTGCATTTCACATAAGACATTCACAATAGGAGACCTTTCCACAGAGCTCAGCCTCCTGCCACCCCTGGGTGGAGTAGGATCACCCTCTCTCTGAAGCCCCCCCACAGTGCTCAGGAGAAGAATTACCTGTGTTCCTATGAGGACATAAGGCACGTTGGGCATGCAGACTTTCAGCTCAGGCACCCACTCCTCCTGGACGTTGTGGTAGGAGGCAGGATTCACCACCGAGAAGCAGATCAAGAACACGTCTGTGTTGGGGTAGGACAGGGGTCTCAGCTGGTTGTAGTCCTCCTGCCAGGGGAGAACAGCAAGAGTGTTATGAGGTGGGGATGACAGCAGATGGGGGCATTGTGTTGGCTCCACGTTGGCTCTTGATGAAGTGTTCAACACTTCTAACCTTCAGGGAGCTGCTGGGGGTGAAACCACCCCTTGTGAGACAGGGGAGCTGATTTGTCAACATCTTTATCCAAAAGAGCTGAAAGTTGCCCCCTTGCTGGAAGTGTTCAAGGCCAGGTTGGACAGGGCTGTGGTCAACCTGGTCTAGAGAAAGGTGTCCACCTCCACAGCAGGGAGGTTGCATTTAGATAATCCTGAAGGTCTCTTCCAACTAAATCATTCTATGATTCTGTGAACACATTTTGTTTGGGTGTGTATTATCCATGGAGATGTTGGTGCAGAGGCTAAATGTTAAATGTTAGTGCATTTGGTACCATCACAGTCTGCTGCACCAATGTGTCAGTCAGCAGAAGACACTCATATTGAAAGCAGATCAAATCCAGCCTGCAGTGCCTGGGTACATCACTGTGGGAGATTTAGTGTTTCCACAGGCCCTGGACAGGAGAAGGAGAGATGTTTTCTCTATGGGCTAGTAGCAGAGAGGGTAAATTTTCAAACAGCTCAAAGCACAGCTGTGTTGTGTCATGAGCTGGCTTTGATAGCTGAGTCTCAAGGAGGAATTTAAGTCTGTTTTCAGGCCTGAGAAGTTGAGAGTGAGCATGTGAAAGGGGTAGTCTGACAGTGAGAGCATATGTAGCTGTGTCTGGTGGGTACTGTTCAATGAAACCTGCTAGAAAGTTTCAGTGCAATGAAGCAGATGCTTTTTGAAGGGGATACATCTGTTTTGAAGGCCTTTTTGGGAGGTCCAGGTTCGAGAAAGGGGAAAGGAACACAAAGTCGGAGTGTGGGAAACAATAATACATGCTGCTGTCAAGCCTGACTGAGATCTAGATCTGCAGTTTATAGTTTCTGCATTCTGGGCAAGTCTCAAATCTCTGCAGTCTGGTCGCTTTTGTTTTTAACTGTATGAAAACTCAACTGCTGCAGATTTGTTTTGCAGATACCAAATAGTTAATAAAGGAAATAAAGCTAATAAAAGGGTGAAAAAAAGACACCCAGGTGCTGTTGCCTAGAATTGAGAACTTTTATTCTAGGTAGGAAAAAAACCCACATTAGGAGCGGGAGCAATACAAGCTGCTCTCTGTCCTGCAGGAGAAAGTGATGCAGGGCTATATCAGTGCATGCCCAGATGAGATGGTGTTTTAGTTCAGCCTTAATTCTACCCTGCTGTGGATGAGTCAACAAATGAGAGGGTTTAATCCTGAGTTGAGACTGGAAAATCTTCTTTCTGAAGTATTTTGTTCACTGACTATACAGTCATAAGTTGACCCATATTAGTTCTGAATGGAAACTAGTTTCCAAAATATACTCATGAATTATGTAAAAAGAGTCTTCTCCAACTGCTTCTTAAAAAACCACCCAAAACCTTATTTTTTTATTCTGAAAGGAAGTATGAGGCCAAATGTAGCTCCGTCTCATTAAAAAGTTTAAAGAAGCATCCTAAAACACAAACAAAATGTTTTGTTTTGTTAAACTGAATCTTCATTGTCCCAAGCCCACTTTGACAGGAAGAGTAAATTCCCAGTTACTACCTCCAGCCCTCACAGACACAGTATTTGGGGTAAAGCCAGAGTATTTTTCAGCTGACCTATGTCTGTCTTTCCAGTGGCATAGAAAGTGTTGATCTGAAGAAGGATTTACAAGAAAAGAGGAGGTGTTTCTGGATATATCACCTCCAAAGAAAGTGGATTCTCCATGTTCAGAGTATAGTAAGAAAAAACCCTCAGAGATGTTTGTGGGAATATCAGTGATGCAGTTCATGAAGAAGTAAAGTTGGTGAAAGGAGATGTGTACGAGGCTCTGGAGATGTCACCCAGCTTCCAGCAGTTAATAGAGGCAAAGTGATGGGATGGGATCAACAGAGCAATTGCATCACAGAGATGAACAGGTTTTATGCAAATATTGTGTGTTAGGAAGGCCTGACCTGATTAGGGAAAGTTGTTTTAATCCAGAAGATCCAACCTGAGATTAAGTATGTTTGTGGCTCAGCCAACACAGACTGACACCGGCAAAAGCCTTTTCTGTATTTTCTGTTTAATTGCTGCAAATCAGGCTCCTGACCCAGCCACACGATGGCAGCAAGCCCTCAAGAAATCCTCATTTAGGATTTTTTTGGAAAGAAATTGGCTAAATATAGACAGTTTCAATATTCCAGACGTGCATATTTAGATGGGATGGAACTTACCGTACCACTAAAATTACAGATTAAAGCCATGAGTGCTTTGCCTGGCTGTGACAGCTACAGGAGCACGCATTTAATTTTATTTTCCTTGTTCCTTTGGAGTCCCTAGAAAATCCTTTTTTAAGGAGGAGCATTCTTGATTTGAGTTATCAGCACAGAACATTATATAAACTGTAAGGAGGGACAGCCACAAGTCACGTAACAGAAGTCTTGTCTCCCACCAGGGCACATGGAAACACAGACACCTTAAAACACAAAGGCTGTGGATAAGAGTTGATCTGGGCTCCTGTGTCTGTGGGCTGACTCGAGCTTCCAAACAACATCAGACAAGGACGTTGTCTGTCTCTGTACGTACCTGCTCTCCAGGAGAAGGCTATAACACCTTGGACTGTGGCACTACAGTGTCATTTCTCAGTCAGAGATGGTCGAAGTCAAGCAAACAAATAGCATAAAAAAGGGACTGGACATTTGTATGGGTAAGGGACGTATCCAGAGGTGCTGCAGTGAGTGACAGTGGTGTTTGGGAAGGCACATGAGTCCTCACAGGTTTGGGCTGTGGCTGATCAATAATTTATTTTCCTCGTTCCTGCTTGCATTGTGCTGCCTGCTCTTCAGGGAGCACAAGGCTTCCCAGTTAACACCACTGGTTTGGCATGGAAATGTCAGTGCCACACCTGGCCTTACTGAGTTACTGTCTGTGACTTTCCAGGGCTGAGATACATTGACTAGTGTTGCTCCCTCCCCTCTTTTGCTGCCATCGGCTCAACAATGTTAGGGCCCCCCAAAAAAACCCCAAACTGGCCTTTTTAATGTTGCTGCCAAGTACGTTCCGTTAAAGCACTTTTGCACCTGAGTCCAGCCTGGGGCAAAAAGACCAGTTTTTTTCCTCCTAGGACTGTTTGTGCCAGGGATATAGAAAACCAGATACCCCAAATCTGGGGTCTCTGCCAGCTCTCCCTTCAGGCTGACAGAGGGTCCTGCTGCAGGAGTACATTTTCCAATTGTTATTTCATTAGCATATGTTTTATAGCATCGTAATGTCAGGGGCTATTTCTGGCTATGACTTCACACTGATGCCTTTGGAAAGCCACACAACACAAGGAGAAGGAGGGAGGAAACAACCCAGATGATCTGTCGTTATAGCTGGAGCATGTGGGAAGCATCATCCTTCCAGCCTCCATGGAGACACAATCTAGTCATCAAGGGGTGATTCATGCTCTGAGTTTGGACTAGATGGCCACGTCCTCCAGACCAAGGTCTGGGAGGGAGATGAGCCTGATGAGTTAGAAATAGGGCTTGGAGGCAGGTGTTGATCTGGCCAGTTTTAAGCAGGAGATGGCAAAATGATGTGGAGGAATAGATGAAGGGGTGAGGTTTGTCAAAGAGACAGATTTAATGTTCCTTCTGTCTCAGGAGGACAAAGAAGAGGAGGTGTTGCAGAGAAAATTGGTGGCAGGTGGAACTGTCAGCCCTACAGAACAAGTTGAAATATTAAGGCACTGGGTGAAATCTGACTGAGCAGTGAATATAACTCCAGTCTCACTTGTGAAGTCCTGCAGGTCTGCTGGACTGTGACATGTGCTCCAAGCTCTGCTTTTATGAGCACAGAAGATTGAACAGGCTTTGGACATGGAACAAGGACTTGGGTCATATTTTGGGACTGGCTTTTGGATCATCTGTTTGTGCCATGTCAATAGAATGGATGAGTGGACTTAGGGGCCACCAAGCTAACTATGAAGTGAGTGTTGCTGCCTTCAGAAACATGATAGGAATAAAATTAAAGGACGTGAAACCCAGAGCATCAAAACCTCAGTCCTGCTGAGTGCAGGCTTTCTGGAAGTGACAGTCTGTTCTGGTGTGGGTTTTCTGATCTCTCTGCATACTGCTGCAAAGTATATTCTGGAAGAAGTGGCCTTTTGCAGACAGGAGAGTCTCGTTCTGTATTGTCTGTGCATTTCATAGCAGTCAGTCATGGCCAAAACCAGTACAGCCAAGAAGTGCTCCTGATGAAAGCAAAGCCCTGCATCCAGGGTTAGCGGAAACAAGAGAGAGTAAAGTTCCCAAATCTACTTTCTCTCCTGCTGGCTCCAGTGCCAGTTCTGACTGGAGGAGCTGGTGGATGCAGGTTATAACCTCCCCAGGGTGTGAAGGATCCAGAACCTGCTCCCTCCCCTCTCAGCAGGTGATTTTCTGCAAGGTTTCTGTGCAGATTGTGGCTCTTTCTTTATTTTGCCTGTCACTGGCACTGGGAGGTAGGAGAAGGAAATATCACCACAAAAATCTGTTGCTCCCTGTACCTTCTTCTGCCCTTCTACTGGCAGAGCAAAGCATGAGAATTACTTTTTCCTCCTCTCCAGGGGGTGGAATTATTCTGCAAACTTTGGGTGCAATCACACCATATCAGACCATGGACAGTAAAAGCATTCTATATGTAAGTAAACATGGGATACAGACTCCCCTGTAATGGACATCCTTGACCTCGGAGAAGGATAGTGGGATGGATGCCAATCTGGCTGGGTTACCACTTAAAAAGTCAATAGCTGGTGACTGATAGACTGGTGCTGTATTATATTAGTTTTCTGATCTTGGAACTGGGACTTCTCTGTGTCTTCAATGCCACCATGTGGTAAAGGTAAGAAAACACTGAGTATATGAAACATCATGTTTGTAGAAGAAGGTGGATATATGGGAAGCTGAACGGCCTCATCAGAATACCTTTGGTATTTTGATTAGAGGAAATACAGTCTCAGGGATGAATGTATTTGTGTGTGTTTTATAGGTGAGCCAGAATGAAATGTAGAAAATGAGAAATGTAGAAAGGAATGTAGAAAACGAGAAGGTCAGCAGTTCAACCATTGCAGCTCACAAGTGGTTGTTAATATTTGTTAAAAAAAAACCCCAAACCCACAAATATCATGAACAACAAATCCCAGTATATGGTAGTAACAAAAAAACAAATCAAAAGAAGAAAAAAAAAACCCCACAAAACAAGAGCACATGGGAAAGGAAAATGATAAATATTTTGCAGTAATTTACCTGCCCGGCAGTATCATAGAGTCCCAGCAAGTGTTGTTGTCCTCCCACAGTCACTGTTACTGGAAGAAAGAAACAAGAGTTGTTGTTTATGCACAAGTCAGTGGCCTCATTTTTATCTGCTTTAGTCCTAAAATGCCAATAGACCCTTGTACTAGACATAGTAGCACGTGTCTTACAATGGGCATCCTAAACCAAGCACATCTATTCAACCCAAATTGAAGGCAACCTAAATTCACAACAAAAGCAAATTCTTTATGCCAAGCTCTTATATCTGTAAAGGCAAGCAAGGGTGACGAGCTGCACACATGGCTGCCATCAGGGACAGGAAACTTTTGTTTCTCTCTCTTCAGCCACCAGCTGACCACCACGGATTGAAAGCACAGAATTCCTGTCTCCCCACCACAGGCATTGGGGTAGGTTTGCCATGGATCACTGAGAGGGTTTTTTTATTACTTTATTTCTTCCAGGCTGTGAAATGATGGAGCATTCAGCAGTGGCTGATGTTTGGTGGGTCTCAGTGGAGGTGAAGCCTGTCCTGCCCTTCTTCAGGCAATCGCAGGCAAAATGGCAGTGCTTAGTACTTGGGGCTGTGGTGGATGCACTGAAGGACAAGAAGGAAGAGAAGCATTAATATGTGCAGGGAAGTTGACCAGATTCTGTTACAAATGATGGAAAGCGTGGTTTAATTTATTGATCACATTTGGCACATTTACTCCTTTTGCAGAATTCACTTTGAACTTCATTTTGAGCCCATTGACACATTTTGAGCCTATTGACATTGACAAAAATGTTTTCTCATTATCTTTGGATGAATCCCATTATTATCTGATCTCTTAACCAGTGTTATTTTGTATAAAGGACATGATTTGGGTTAAGGACATGATTTGGGTTAACGACATTTAGTTAACCAGTTAATCTGTTTAAATCTTGCCTCTCAACTGGAAAGAAAGAAGGACAATCCAGTTCCATCCATTAGTCAACAGGAACTTTTAACATTCATCATGAAGGTTGCTTAAAATAATGGTATTTTTGCAGCATATGGACTATTACATTTTATTTAAACCTGAGGGAAAAATGCTGGAATGAACACAGAGCTATGGCTGGGGTAGGGGGGCTGGGACTGATGCCCATCATCTGATCACAACTTGCAGCTAATGAGGTCTGGGAATGAGTAATGGTTACTTTGGGCAAAGAGGAGGCTTGAAAACATCACACAGGCTCTGGCTGATTTTTTTTTAGCGATAAAAGTTTTGCAGGAGAAAAGCACCTACCAATTTATGGAATTTAATAGCTCCTGCACTGGGGAACAATGTCCTGCTTGAAATCTCTTAGCCTCGAAGCCTCTGTCAGTGTGACTGGACAGGCTGATTATTCAGCAGCTTTACTTGCTTGCAAAGCGACACAGTGATTTTGCCAGCACATAAACAGAGCAAACCTGACATCCTGGAAGCACCAAAGGCTCAGTGAAGACCAGACTTGCTGATGAGAGCAGGATGGGCTGCACTGACCCGCCGCTGGGGTTGCCTTGTGATGTGCACTGAGAGAGGAGATGGGAAAGGGGCCGAGACCCCTCCTCCCTCTCCTCAGCTCAGGAGGCAGCATGTGCAGCTCCCAGGGGAACTCAGAATGGGGCTGGCTGTTAAGCATGGATGCCCAAGGGTGGAAGAGCCCAGGGAAGAGGTACCAGGGTGGGGAGATGGGTCTCAATGCAGACAGGAGATAATCCACATGCCCCATCCCCTTCCTTCAACCTGACTTGAATAAAGTAATTTGAACTAATCCTCCCTGCAGCCCTGGTTTTCAACTTCTTGTGGTGTGGGGAGTCCCAGAATGTCCTAGTAGAGGTATGAACTGTGTAAGTTTACTGACCACATGCCTGTTTTTCTTAGCTCCCTTCTCAGAAGCAGTGGGGGTTACAGGTGGTCCGGCACAGCTCACTGGAGGCAGTGGGAAATGTGCATTTTTTTCCCAGTTGCAACCTTGGCCGGCCTCCAATCTGCCCCTGTGCCAAGAAATGCAGGAACCAGACCCATTCTGCTGGTTTTACTATGCTCAAGGACCAGCTGTGGGAAGATGTAATGTGCCCTTCAACTGAAGGCAATTTTCCAACTGCAGCGCTCAGCTGGCCGAGGTGGTGTTTAGAGTTATCCAGTTCAGCCTCTCCTGCTGGCTAACCCTGAGAACAGCCAAACTGAGCTGGGTCCTGCTTGCAAAGACCAGCTCTGGTCTTTAGTGTTTTAAAAACTTAAAAGTCGCACTTAAATTTACTCTGCTGTGAAACTTTGCTGGCCCGTTTCTTTCTTGGTGGCATCTGACTGACAGAGCTATGCTGGCAAAAAGCCCTGGTGCAGCTACAAACTGCTGCCTTGTTCCAGTAATTAATATAGTTTGGAGATAAGCTGTTTGGTAGAGGACCAATCTGTCTCTGCTGCCAGAAGGATATAACCCCTAAACTATTATCTGTGTTTTGTGGTCCATGAAGTCACAGTGGATATTTTGCAACAGGTCTGTGGAGCCACACACTGAGCAGTGATTGATAGTTTGTGCAGTTCAGTTTGGCTCTTGGTGACCTCTGGGAAATGCTGAGGGGAAGAAAGAGATAGGTAGTGTCCTCCCATTACTCTTCCCAAACACAAGGTCTAAGAAATGCAAGGGTGTTTTGAAAAATACACCCTAAGTCTACCCAGCTTGCATATCACATTTTAATTCTCCTTATAGCCTCCTCTCCTGCCTCTTACAGGCTCTGCTGTGATTTTTGTGGGGTACCAGTGCTATATTTTTATTTTTTATCCTTTTCTTTTTATCTCTTTCTTTTTCTCCTTTTTATTTTTTCATTGTTTTCTTTTCTTTTTTTTCTCCTGCCTTTTCTTTGGCCCATCCACCTTTTATATTTTCTTTCTTCTTGTCGATTGTTCTGTCTCATCATCAGAAGATATTCTTCCTGTCCATATTACTTCTCTGAGTTTGCAGCTACCACCTCAGAAAAAATTGTCTTGTTGGCTAAACTTCAGCAACAGGCAAACTGTTGTCTTTGGATCCCTGGCTGTGAATGCAGTGGGGACCACATGGCTCACGCTGGCAAATCAAATAATCCCTGGATCTTGAAACAGCGATGTCTAGATTAATGTATTGGTGCTGAAATTTCCACCACACTTTCAAGCAGGCAAAACAGATGTCAAAATAAATGGCTTTTGCCTGTGAAAACTTCATGGTATTTTTTTAAGAAAAGTTTATCAGTCTACCTCTGTCAGACTGCTCAGAGTATCCACTTGGTAGGTCGTATTTACGAGCTGAGATTGCCCTGCTAGATTTGTAGGTCTTACTTTTGGCTTTATTCCAGTTTACTTTTACTTACCCTGTTAGTATCTTTTCCTGTTCTCTCAGTGACCAAGCCTATGGGAAGCCAATGCGGAATTCCTTTCCAGTCACTGGGGTAATGCAGGCTCCTTTACAGGCTCGTGAACTCGGCTTTATGAGCAGTCTTGGAGTAACAAGACAAATATGAACACTCCTTGCCATTTACTGTCTCTATTGATATATTGATTAAGCACTGAAATGATCTGGCCTTTAACACTGAGTGCAGTGGGGACTGCAGTAAAATGAGGCTGAATTCTTGCACAGTCCTGGCTCTCATTTGGCTCCAGTCTGGGTTGCATCAGATGATGCAACAGGGCAGATGTTCGCCTCCTTTCATTAGGTGGTGTTACCAAGTGCTGGATATGTAAAACACTGCTTTGAAAATGATAGTTAGATCATAATTTAGCTCGGTATTGCTTGCTACAGTTTGAGTAACTGTCTTGGGTCACCTCCAGGGCTTTGTTGCAGGTCTGTATGCCTGGGGGTTCTGCTAATGGGCTTCAACACAGAGCTTGAAGACCACAGCAGAAGGGCAAGGTGCTAGGTGGAGGTATTGTGTGGGATGGATCTGGAGTGTGGACCATGAACTGGTCTGAGCTGGGAGCTCTCTTTTGAAATAAGTGGTCAGTTTGTGTTCCTGGGGACAATATGACAATTCTCATTGGTGTTCTTCATGCCCAGATTGCTCCAGATCCAGCTGTCTGTGGTCAATCTTTGCCAAACTCTTCTCTCATTGGGCTTTGTTTGCTAGTAGCAAAACCCTGGTGACTTTGTGGGTCGGAACTGTACCCATGGAAGAGCCCTTCAGCCACACAACAGCAATGTTCATAGTCTGCACTGACAGAAATGGGAAACATAATGTCTGCTGCACTCACAGATCTTACGTTTGACTGATAGTGCAAAGCAACACATATGGTATGACACCAAACTAGGACGCAATTGTGGCACAGGAGAGTGGATGTGCACATCACAGGGAATTTTTCCATGCCAGTGAAGAATTGCTTGCAGAACCCAAAGACTGTGAAACCACTGACACAACAGCTAAGCAATGTTTAATAGGACACCACATGGGAAGAGTCATCTATTTATTCTAGTGCCTTCCTGCCAGCAAATTAAGGTCCAGATGCTTTGGAGAGAGATGCCAGAAGCCTGAGAGCAAGGAGAGATGGTAGCACCTGCCTGGATGGAAAGACTTCATCATGTTTTTGGGTAAATTAGTTTGCCTTAAGCCTCCAACTTTCACAAGGGCCATCTTCTGCCCTAGTCAGCAAGCTCTGAGTATTAGTTTATACATTTGTCTGTTCGCTATGATTATATGCACCAGATGAATGTTACTTAACACAGACTAGTCACAGAATGACAAAATGGCTGAGTTGGAAGGATCACGTGGTTCCAACCTCCCTGCCATGGGCAGAGACACCTTTCACTAGACCAAGTTACTCAAAACCTCATCCAGTCTGGCCTTGAACACTTCCTGGGATAGCCATAGTATGAGAACAATTGCAATTCTGGCTGACCTGCTGGCAGTAGAAATGCCCAATTCGGTTTCATTTACAGCTGGGAAAAGGTAAAATCAGAAAACAGAAAAAAGAGCAATTTTTGGTCAGCTGCAGTGAAGTTTAGATGGAAGTTTTGTATTCCTACTGCTTTAAGTGCTGGGCAGACACTTGACCAAATTTTTCATTTCCAAAAAGAAAGTTCT